ATGATAAAGTACAGGGGCAACATATATGGGACTGCTAGCCTAATATGAATCCTCTCTGTTGAAAGAACATAGTTCAGTATATCTGTATGATGAAAAAGGTCATCTCAGTTCAAACCTACCTGTGGAAGCCTTGTCCTCTACACTGAGCAAAGTAAGTGTGTGTTTGTTTTTGTTTATGTGAGAAGAGCTTGAGCATGAGGGATGGCCAAGAAGCCCGCCCTGTAAGCTTATCACTATGAGGAAAAAACCTGAGGCTTAATGGTGTTTGAGAATGTCTATGCAAACTTACTTCTGTCTATCTGTTTTAACTATATGTGATGTCTAGAACTTCCTTGATGCATTAACCTGCATGAAGGGGACTCCACTTGTTGAAGAGGTAGCAAGGCCTTTTGTTGGCCCTGTCTTCCAATATCACATGGCTCTGCAGTCCTACTCCCTGGTGTCCACACATTGAATGTGGACATATGCACCAGAGAAACCATGCATGACTTGTATACAGTCTGGAATCCTGTTCTTGTGGAAGCCTTTTTACAGTATGTACCTATTGCTTGGCTGGGGTGTGGGAGCTGGGGAGCAGTGTGATGTTCAGGACAAGGACAGCAGCAGAGCCTACTGTGTCTTCAATGCATGGAGCCTGCTTTTTGCAGATAACAAGTGAGGGAACCTTAAATCTTGTGAGATTGTGTGAGATTGTCTCTGGCAAAGCAGTGTTAGAACAGAGCAGGCAGGATTCCGAATTATTAGCTTATAGGCCAGGCATCTCCTCCACAACATGCATGCATACACACACACACAGCACACACTTGTAGAAGAAACATGGACCTGTAGGCAGAGTGCAGGAGACCTGAATGCTTCTGTTGCATGACATGCCCTTTCAATAACGGCAGATCCCAGAGTCCCTTTGTTCCTGTTGCATTTTCTGTGTACAGGTAATAAGAGCCTGTAGCAACCAACTGGCAGCAGGAGGGAGGAAGAAGCACCATACCAAACTGGCATTGAGGTCCCAGGAATGGTTCGAGCCAGTGCCTTGCAACTGACATGAGTAAATAAGTTAGGTGTCTGGTTCCCAGTGTGCATAGAACTCAAGGACTGGCAACATTGTCTAAAGGGCATTCAACAAACATGTGTAATACACACACACCCCTACCCCTTTCTGCCATGTCAAACTATACATACAAATCAGGTAGCCAGAGGTTTAACTAAGGGAACTAAAAGAAGATAAAGTATACTAATCCTCCTATTTTTCAGTGGTCATTCTGAGGCAGCCACTCAGGTTCTTTACATGGCAATAGTTACTGCTGTAGTGGCATGTCTCTCCCCCCACCTCTTTGGCAGTATGAGGGAGGGTTGTATTTTCCTTTCCCCAATCTGCCGTGCCTGGGATAATGGGATACAGCAGCTGTTGAGGCAGATTTTTCCAAGGTGTCTGTCTACCCTGAGAAAACTGCATATTCTAAGGATCCTGGCATTGTTGTAAACAGCAATCCAGGCACTGGAGAGGGGAAAGAAATTTCCTGCTCAGCCTTAATAGGAGCCGGGTGGTTGGGAGGGAGGAATTCTTCCCAGGCTCGGGTCAAAATCTGAGCTCAAGAAGAACCCAGGGTGCTGTGATGCAAGCACTGCAAATCATCAAGGATTATTCTCAAAACCAAGGAATTACAGTCAATTACATTATTTGTTTGTTTGTTTGTTTGTTTGTTTGTTTGTTTATACCCCGCCCATCTGGCTGGGCTTCCCCAGCCACTCGGGGCAGCTTCCAACAAAACATTAAAACACAGTAATCCATCAAACATTAAAAGCTTCCCTAGGTGACTAGTGTCCCTGAACCAGACAAAACTTTTAGAAATCTCACAGCAGTTAACACCTATATTTACTGGCAAACCAAACTGCCTTGTAGAGGTAAGCAGAATACACCTGCTCTGCTTCCCTCCCACCATTCTTTGCTTAGGGTCTCTTCCTGCAACAGGCTTCTCAACCTGACCAGGTCCTGCTCACATTTCCCACATTTCCTGAGGTGGGTGTGGGGAATCCCCATTCCTTGTTTCGCTAAATGCATTTGTTCAGTCCTTGCAACAAACAGATTAGCCAGGGTTTTATCGAGGAGGAGAGGAGGGAGCCTGTGATGTGATAATGGTTTTCAGCAAATCCTCAGGCTGTCACAGATTAGAGCAGCCATGGCAAGGAGTATTATCGGATCCCCCCCCCCTTTTGTCTTCCTTTTCCATCGGATTTTGCAAGCCAATCTATTGTAGAGAGAGCTGGTAAGATACAAGCAGAAGTCAGTTTCAATCTGATCTGCGATTGGTTTCCTGGCAGCTGATCTGTGCTGCCTTATCGATTCGCGTGCCCTCCACCTTGTTTGTCTGGAGAGGAAGGTGGGAAAGGGGGGGTGTATAGTGGAATTGAAGTGCGTGAGCCCTTGGTGGAACCACTTTAAACTTGATACATACAATTGATCCGGAGGCAGGAGCACAAAGAGGCCAGTGGGGCCAATACAAGAAGAGCAGGAGCCGCCAGCCCTAATCAAAGGGGTTTAAATGGTTGTGACCTTCTGATTAGAAGCGAGAAATCATGTCTGGAGGGGTAGCTAGCTGGGGAGTAGAAGGCATTGGGTGGCCTGAAGCCTCTGAGCCCGCCATACTGCTCTGTTTGTGGCCTTGGCAAGGGCTGCCTGCAGCTCACAGACCTGTGACTTTGCGCTGTTGCTGATGTGTTCTCGGGTGGTGGAGCTTAAACAATGTGGCTTGTGCTGTGCTTTCTATTGGGATTCTCATAGCACTCAATGGGACTTGCCAGCTCTGTAGCTTGTTCCCATCTAGATGGTGAGGGTGGTATAGTCAGGCTCAATTTGAGCCAGGGTGTGCCAATATCAGCTGTGGACCATGCTTTCAAAGCCAGGGCTCAGTCCTGGAACATGCACCTTATATAAACAGAGCAAGTTCAGAACATCTTTGTGTTTCTACTGAAAAAACACAGCTAACCCCACCCCAATGTATCTGAATCAGGGAGTAAAGTCTTTCAGAGCAGAACTATCATTTCCATCAACCCTGGCTTCTGTCTTTTTAGAAATCAAGCACTGCGCTAGCTGCACACTTACATAGTTCCAGGAGGCCGGGGGCTTGTTTTGCCTGGCCCCAAATCATCAGTCAGCAGGTTTGGATGGGCGGGAATAGGGCCTAGAACGAGTAATGGGCCTGAGTGTGGAAACAGTGTTAATAAAGTGTATTTCACTTTTAATTTTGACATCCAGTGTAATGATCTTTTTAAGGCCCTATCATATTATCTGCATGACTAGATTATTGAGTCTTCATCGTCTCCAGATAAATTTATGGCTGGGATAAGGCTTGGAATTTATTATCAGTCAATAGAGCTCAATCCTCTAACAAGGCGTGTAATAAGATATACATATTTAATGATCCGGAGTGAAGCAGCCTGCTAATGGGGGTCGACACTTCTATTCTCTTCCCTTCTCAAAGGTAGCCGGCTCTGGCAGTCCCAAATGGCCTCTTCCCCGATCGGACCCCCTTAAACAGGGGCAGCTGGTGATGGCTTCCCTGCTCTCACCATTCTGAGCAGAGTTTTGCAAAAGCCATATATTAGCTAGCTTGCAGGAGCTGTAGCATGCCCACAAAGCGAGTTCCTTCCCTCCAACTTCCAGAAAAGGTTCTTTGGGACCTAAGTGTTCTCTGACACTTCACAGGCTGGGTAGGCTTGAACTTGGTACTTCAGAGAAGATGTCTAATAGAATAAGAACACCCATTGGCTAAATGGTACTGAATAGTTCTGAATAGTTCTGAAGACAGAGTGGCTCTGTTCTAGTGCTTATGGAACCATGGTGCGCCCCCCCCCCACTGCCCTCAGAATCTCCATGTGTAGTTGAATAAACTGATAATTAAACAACAAAATAATGCAGTTTTCATAGGAATGAAACTGCCTACAGTGGTACCTTGGTTTACGAACGTAATCCGTTCCGGAAGTCCATTCTTAAACCAAAGCGTTCTTAAACCAAGGCGTGTTTTCTCATAGCAGCGGGGGACATGGAACACACTCAAGAGGAAGCGGAACATGTTCTGCTTCCAAAGCAAAGTTCACAAACCAAAACCCCTACTTCCGGGTTTGCAGCATTCTTAATCCAAGCTGTTCATAAACTAAGCTGTTCTTAAACCAAGGTATGACTGTACTCCACTTAGACTTCCACATGCCAGGATTATTGTGATAGAGGCAGCTTCATTCTCTGCCTAGTTTGATGCCTTGGGTCCAACAGTGAAACCTCACATTTCTCTCACATTTCTTTTAGTTCCTGCATTTCTGTTTTGCGTGTGCAGTCTCAGAAAGACATGCATTCTGATAAAGTCCCTATCCCATTCCTATGAGTATCACCATTCCTTCTAATAGTGAACTTGGGTGGATGAGGGTTCTATAAGTGGGTCCACCCAAAAATAAGTTAGTGGTTTCTGCATACTCAAGGGACTTCCTAGGTATAGTATATTCTTGTTAATTAAAGGGGGGAGGGCTCAGAACACTCTGACAAGGATCTATGATCTTCCAGGATGTATGGAATGTTGAAGGCAGTTGAGAGACAAAGTAAAAACTTTATATGGGGAAGGAGAATGCTTCAAAAATTTAGTGGTCTCTTCAAGCGCAAAGCTGCAGCTTTATCATTTTGCAGGGAAGATTTGGGTTGAGGGAAGCATGCTGTCACATCTAAAAAGTCCTACCTCTGTGCTGGGCGAGTTCAGGCCTAGCAGTCAGGCCCAAACCTAAGCCTTCTAGCTTTATGTTATAGTGTGGCAGCAGAAGGCTTCAGGGTCTTCATCCTTCCTGATATTCCTGAATGAGACCTAAACAGCACTTCAAAACTCCTTTCTTACAGATGCCAGAACAGGAAGAGAGGCAGGGATACACTGATACATTTTGCTACAGATTCCACTTACTCATAGAATCATAGAGTTGAAAGGGACCCTGGGGGTCATCTAATCCAGCCCCTCAATGCAGGAATATGCAGCTGTACCATACAGGGATCAAACCTGCGACCTTGCTGTTATCAGCACCACACTCTAACCAGCTGAGCTATCCAGGCTCCCAATAATGAGCTCAGGTATTTAAACATTTAATTTAAATTTAAACAAAACCACTCAAAAAATAAGGTAGTGGCTTCTGCCTACTCAGGGGACACCCCTGGTACACAGAAGTACACAGGTTTGTGAATTATATTAAATGAAAATGACTTTTAAAAACCCACTTTGACATGACCTAAAGAAACTTGAGGTCAGGCAAACTGTGTGAGTCTATGAATTAAGTTTGTGCCTGAGAACTGTTTGAGACACGGAATCATCATATGCCACTTGAACACAAAGCATTTATGGGAAGGCAGAAGAAGAGAAGGAATGGACATGCTCAAGCCCCTGACAAGTTATAGTAAGTGGGGGTGGGGGGTAGTGTTGGATGAGATGAGATGAGATGTTTTTCCCATCTCCAGAACTGTGTGTTCCCTGCTAAATAGTTATAAAATACTTAGGTTTGGGGCTAGCAACTCTCTGTTGCTGTAACACCAGAGGGGGAGGTCTTGCCAGGGTACCTTTCCTGAAACTTTCCCAGCTTCCCAAGAGGCCGGGGCAGGTCTGTATGTCTCTCAGTCCAGAATCTCTAGAGCCTTGAACAGAAGCATTCCTCTAAGGCAGAGCTTTCCAAATTGTGTGTTGTGACACGTTAGTGTGTTGGCTGCAGTGTGTAGGTGTGCCGCACAAACGTTCCCTGGGCTCCTCCCGGGGCTGAAAAGAGGTTAGTTTAACCTCCAGTTTGCTAGTAAAACTGAATTACAGTGTCACGAAATGATGCATGTCTAAAAAGGGTGTCACCAACATGAAAAATTTGGAAAGCTCTGCTCTAAGATGCTGCAACATTTTGTTGCATGCCCCCTTATGTTGTGTTGCAACATTTTGTTACATGCCCCCTTATGTTGATAAATCAATCAGCTGGTGTAGCATAGTGACTAAGAGACTGAGCTGTGACTTGCAAACTTCTCTATTTGCGTTTTGGCAGTGTTACAAACTCACTTAAGCAACCAACTTTCAGCTCCATCCCTCTTCCCCCAGTCTGTGCTATGCTGATAAGAATATTTATTTCAACAATTTATATCCACTTAATATCATACGTTAGAAGAAAGATACAATAGAGAAAATTAATCAGTAAAATCTTCTTAAAATGCCTACTGAAGCAAAAAGAAGTCTGTCCTACTTAAAAGGGCTGTTGTAAGAACTACAAGAAAGCAGTGTACTGTATGTGAAGTTCTGCAATGTTCCAAATAGTTATATGAATGCAATTGTTACCACAGCTATAATGCTGCATATGGTGAAAAGAAGGAGACTTTCAACTGCAGCAGGCTTGTTTTTTCTTTAGATTCTTTAGATTCAGTCTGAAGCACTTATCATGGTGACACTCAGCAAGATTCTAAGATGCAGCTTTCTTTTCCTGGGTCAACTTCACCATATTAACCTCATGTAAATGTGAAGTTGGAAGAAACAATACTTTTTCTGTATATTAATCTTAATAACTTTCTTGATCAGTCATCTTTTGACATTTGAGGGCTTCTAGAACCCGAGGCCAACTTTGGGCATGTGATAATCTTGTTAGGACATCATCACAATCCAACATTTTTTATTTCCTACAAGAATGTTGTAGCTCCACTGATGCAGACAATTATTCCAAATCTTTATTCTGTCTGATTCTATCTTATTTATTTTCTGGGAGTTATTTGTTTGTGGGGATTGGCAGCTTTATGCACAAGCTTTTGCTTAAGGTAGCTGGAGTTTAAGAATATGGGGTTGTGCATTTTCCTGGAGATGCTGGGGACTGAATCCAAGACTTTCTGCATGGAAAGCAGGTGCTCTACCACTTGAACTACATGGTTCCTTCTCCAGCTTCTGTCATCCCTATTGGTCTTCTGGCTGTAGCTGAAGGAATTCTAGTCCAACAACCCCTGGGGGTTATAATATATGCTAAGCCAGGCATAGGCAAACTTGGCCCTCCAGGGGTTATGGGACTACAACTCCCATGATCCCTAGCTAACAGGACCAGTGGTCAGGGATGATGGGAATTGTAGTCCCAAAACATCTGGAGGGCTGAGTTTGCCTATGCCTGTGCTAAGCCATTCAATACAGTCGTACCTTGGAAGTCGAACAGAATCCATTCTGGAAGTCCGTTTGACTTCCAAAACGTTCGGAATCCAAAGTTTCCTGCAGCCAATTGGAAGCCCCGTCAGATGTTTGGCTTCCCAAAATAGTTTGCAAACCGGAACAGTCACTTCCGGGTTTGTGGCATTTGGGAGCCAAAACGTTTGAACTAAATGGTTTGAAAATCAAAATATGACTGTATAGGCATATGCAAAACCAGGTAAATTTAAGCTTCAACTTTATTTCTAAAAGCAGTGCCCATAGCTAATCCTTAAAGTAATAGTTTAATAAATAAATTATCCTATGCTTTGATTTATTAATCTATTGTCTCCCCACACTTGCAAATACACACACACACACACACACACACACACACACGGTGTTACCTCCTAGAATGGCTTTCTTGTAAATTCTGGGCTATTGTTGAAAGTGTGGTCCTTGTCTTTGGTGGGGACCCAGAGAGATACATAACATTATTGGTTGCTTTTCATAATAAAAGTTTTTTGAGGCTACTGATAATGTTGATCAGTTCATTAGAGCCCGTGTAGTCTGATGAAGAGCTGTGGATTTTTAGAAGTAGTCCTGGCAAAGAATGATCAGTAGGCAGAGTACCAGAGAAATCATTTAAAGGCACAAAACAAATGTAGATTCTTCCCTTGTGGAGATGGAAGAAACTCCCTCTTGAGCACAGGAGGCTGTTGTGCATCTGTAGCTACATAAAATAGTTCCTCACCCCTGGCTATATTTTGAGCCTCCGGTGCTGATTTTTCCAGCCCTTTGGGATGTTATTAAATTAGTTTCCCAGGACTTTTAATAAGCACTTTTGATTCCTTTGAAGCGTGTGGCTTTGTGGGAAGATTACAGCTCTGCATCCTTCTCGCTGGGAGAGAAACAATGGCAAGGGTCTGGCGTTTGATCTGTCCTTCCGAAGGCAAGAGAGACAAAGGGCTGGACTGAGGATTGGGAGCTAATGTTTAAAAATAGGCAGGTCTCCCTCCAAGATAAAGAGAGCTGGCCTTCTGTGTGCAATCAGTGCCTCTGCCTTGCTGGACCTGCCAAAATGAAGCTGGGCTTATTTGAAAGATTTTGAGTGTAGCTCTGCAGTTTCATTCCAAAGCCTTTCAACGCAATAACTAGGCCATCTCGCCTGGCTTTAAAGCAGAAAACTTTATATTAGGACTCTTGGAAGCTCCGGAATTGCAACCCTTCCCTTTCATTCCTTTTTCTGGTCATGGTGTGTCACTCTCAGGGAGAAGTAGCTCTACTTAACAGATTCTCCCATTTTGACTTTGATGTCTCTTCCTAATTAGGGTCCCAATCCCAGTAGCTTCAGCTGAACCAGGAAGTGACCAGGGGGTTGTTCAAGGCTTGCTGGTGAGACGTGGGGAGGGATTCAGTGCCGTGCTAAGGTGATTGTTGCATCAGGGCAAGCATTTTGGCTTGCAGACTGAACAATATCCCCTTTCCTTCCTGAGCAGGCTGTTCCAAGGGTTCTCCCCCTGCCCAAGAGCCAATTTTGGGGGGTGCAGGTGGGGAAGCCCCTGTTGCACAAATGAAAGCCCTTGCATAGGGATTCCATTAATGGTCTTATTAGCTGAATCCCACTCATGAGCAGTGGATGGAAAGGGATGGAAGGGCACCTGCTCTCAAGTCAGCGAATGTGGTAAAAATAATTTATTGACAAGGTAAAAATAACGGGCAAGTGGAGTAGCTGGAAGACCAGCTCTCACCACCTACCCTACTCAAAGGGTGCATCTCCTTTCTATCTGGTGGTAAGGATGCAAGCAGCTATTTGGGAAGATAAGATCCACCACTTCTTGCTCATCACATACTTCTTGTGTAAGATACCAATAAAGCAAAAATACCTGTTAATATTTAGAACCAGGTTCCTCTTGCAACCCAGGCTATCCACAAGAGACCAGTGGGGCTTCAGTGGAGATGAATGGGTGATCATTATAATTTCATTTTAAAATCTTTGATTGTGAAGGTACCCATGAGGCCAGGCTATAGTCCCTAGCACATGGTGCAAGTGTAGACAGAAAAAGCCGGTCCTTGCTTGTAGCAATCCAAGCATAGGAATATAGAACCCAGAGGCACTTCAGTGCCTGCAGAGGTGACTGGTGTTTTTCTGCAGCGAGTATTGAAATTTCTCATTGCTGGAAAGGAAACCCCAGTGTTCATGTGAGGTTCTCACAGGAGCAGGCAAGAGACAGCGATGAGCAGTTTAGCAAGGGCAGAAAGTTCCAGGGAGCAGAGCCCTGCCTTTATCAGCAGTAACTACTGCTGACTTTAACAGCCAGGCATAAACTTGCCATAAATATTGTGAGGATAAGTGCTAAGACATGACTCCTTTACAGCGAGCAGAGGTCTGACCTTCCCCTAGAGAATATATGGCTGTATACCAGAAGCAGTATTGCTCTAGCCATTTCTTCTAGTGAGAGAGGAGGCAATGTCCTTGCAGGCAGGTATACACTACTGCTGTTTGCCCCACACTCTGCCTTCCCAATGTTGCTTTTAGAATAACATTTTCAGCTATTGAATTGTGACTTCTTACCTCCTTCTACACTAGATCCATGGAACGACGCTGTGAAAAGTTCAGTGTTCTCCCACTTTTTGTAATCAGAATTACCTATAGTAGAGTTTGGGAAGTAGCCCAGAGCATGTTCTTGTCTGTGATCACACAGGAGATCCATGGAAGATCAGGGAGTGGAAAATAGTACCGCTCCCACATATACAGTGGTACCTTGGTTTACGAACTATCTGGTTTGCGAACTTTACCTCAGTCTACGAATGGAAGCTGAATGGTGGAAGGGCACCAGTGGCGGGGGGGCCTCATTAGGGAAAGTGTGCCTCAGTTTAAGAATGGATTTGGTTTAAGAATGGACTTCAGGAACGGATTAAGTTCGTAAACTTAGGTACCACTGTACTCTTGTTCAAAAAGAGATGCACTGGATCACTTGGGGCTAGCAGTCTTTATACTCAAACCCTTTCCCCTGCAATAGTCACAGACGAATACGGGCAATTCCCCTGGTGTTACCATTTTAAACACAGTTGTGCTTCAGGCACTACCTAACGACGTATCTTTCCATAGTGCAGACCTTCACCGTGTCCCCCTCCCCCAACTCCCAGTCTCTGAGCTCCCTTACGCATTTCAAACTGCATGTAGAACAGCTTCTGTGCCGGAAATGGCAATCTATCCCCATTGCCAAGACAGTCAAACACCTGGCTGGTTGATTTGGAGCAGTGAAGGATGGAGATCCTTTCAGCTTAAGAGTATTGGCTCCTGCTTCACCCCTGACCCTTACACTCTCTGCCTGTTTTGTGTGTGTGTGTGTGTGAATGAGTGCTCCCGGGAACACCCACCAGAGCAAAACTGGGGAATAATGGCTAAATCAAGCTGGCACATACAATTAGGCATCTAAATGCACAAGAAAGTTGAGGAAATAACGGATTGTGACAATTGTTTTCTAACAAATTCTGCTCCAGTTTAAATCCCATTTGGGCTCCTTTCTGGTCATTAGGTATGTTTTTAAGCTGTTCTCCATAGCATCACACAGCCACTCAACCTATGGCACAGTAAGCCTGAGCATCTTCTGTGTGAGGCCCCTGTGATGAATGGGGCTTGCTCAAAAACACGGCTATGCTTTGGCTCAGTTGCCATTTATTTCACTGGAGCTTGCACAGAAAACGGTGTTGTTGCCAAAGTATAACTGCCTGTGGGCCAACTTAACCATGGTACCATTCAGTTAGCAATTGTATGAATGTTCATTTAAGTGAATATAGCTGGTGTAGCAGGTATGGGGGCCTGGTCTGGATTGGGACTGCAGTGACGGCAAAGGGTTTAAATTCCTCCTCCAAACAGGGTCTCAATCAGGAATGAGGCTTTCATGCCTAACATCTATACTTCAAAAAATTCATTTAATTGCTTAATGCCTGAAATGTTCTCCCATTTATTTGGCCCTAAGATTCTTCTCTGAAATATTGCAGACCAGGAAATGTGGCTGTAGAATTATGAGGGGGGTTAATTAAAGGTTATACTTGAACATAGTCATGTGTGGATCAAACCAGTAACCTTGTAAGGGCTTATATCCCAACCTCATGGTTTCCACAGTGGAGGACTAACTGCAAATCCAGGATGGAAGATTCCAGTTTGCTTTCTGTCTCCTTGTAGATGCCCCTCTTCTCCTCTCTCTGACATTAGAGGAGCATTGTAAAGGGAGCAGTGTGGGACCAAGGCATATTCTGAAGTGAAAGTGGTTTCTGTGGATTATAGGGACCAGAATTAGTGCTGTCAAATGATGAGTCGTACTTGGGGAGGAGTTCTCATAATTTTGCTTAGACTGAGGTCTGGATAGGTACATCAGCCAATGTGGAAACCATTAAAACAAGTCATAGCAAGATCTCTTAACCAAGCCCAGATTAATAACTGTCCAAGTCCATTTCACAGAGGGGACATGCTTAGGGAACTGGGTCTGTCATTCTGAATTGGCCCAGATCCTGAGCAACTGGTGAGTTTTGAGTCCTCTTTGCCTCCCTGCTCGGATGCATGCTGGATTTCTGCAGTGTCTTAACACCTATAGAAACTGTATACCACAAAAATGCTCCCTAGCAGAGTGGTATACTTATTCCCAGGAGAGAGACATTACGCTGCACTACAAGGAAGTCACTTAGAAAGCCTGCAGATATTTTTGCTGCTATTCTAAGCCAGGCTTTGTCTACCCCCAAAATTCTATCTGAAGTGCAGAA